GATTTAATCAAGAAGGGACTTGGATCACTGAAGATTCTCGGGTAGAATTTATACCGGCAATGATCAAACAAGCAGATACGCAACAATATTTAAACTCATCTTTATCCTCAGGGCAACACAGAGAAAGTACAGGTTCATAATGAAACGTGAGAAATAAAAAGCGCTCACTTCCGCAGTGGTCTTCCGTCTTTTCTTGTACTTAATAAATGACAAGGAAGATGGCATTGAACAGAAAAAATTCCCGCATCTACTTAGGATATCTGAGCGCTCCATTGTTCTGGATGTAACCATTGCATCAAAACTAGGGTCGTAACCTCAGCAACTTTACAGGGGGGGGGGACATTCTACAAATAATAACACACATACGTACACACACACGCATATATATATACGCATAATTCTTGTAATTGATAAATAGCTATATTCCATAAATTACATCATTATTTAGAATTTTTAGGCCTTTTTTTTCATTTTTGCACCGCAGTTTCAGGGGCAGTTGCTACCATTCCCCAACAGGCTACGGCTCTGAAAACCCAATCATTTTACCGACAATACATTGCTGTTAGAAATGCAATTGTTGTTACTGGAATAACACAGGAATGACGAAAGACGGTTGTAAACGGCTAACTACATAATTATATTGCATATACGCTCTGATCCAACGAATTGGGTTGACTGCTTATTTTATACGTATTCATCCCTATTTTGTGGGAAATTACCGTTGAATTGTTTCAATGGGCAACCAATAGTTAATATATAATTCGCATTTTTTTGTATTATTAGTACATAAAAAGAGGGTACAGTAAAGTAAAAACTGACATTAAGTTTTTTTATTTGCCCTACTGTCAAAAATATTTGCACACTTGTGACGAGAGTAAGTAGCCACATAAAACAAGAATAGCCGTGTATTTCGTATCTTGACAACATATTAATATTTGTTGTTCTGGTATTCTTTTATATTGCGATTAAGCTTATAAAGTTACAGAATACATGAGTTACAACGAAGTTGAACTAGAAATGGCGAGTCGTAATACACCTGATAGTGTGACAGAAGACTCTCAGCGGAAGAGTGAAAAACCTTCAAGTAAGAATTACGAAAATTTATAAAAAAAACTAAAAAATCTTATAGATTAATTCACGTTTACAGTGTTACTGTATTTTGCATATTGACAATATTCTTTTACGTTAAACAGTTGTTAACGCCAACAAATACGTACGAACAACTTAAGGCTATATTATTCTTCGAGTTTTAAATTTCACTGTTTACGCAATAGTATTAGTAAGCCCGGGGAATTAAGCTTAAACATTATATTTCGACTGTGTGAGAGTGTCCTAATCACTGTACAATGTAAACAACAACAACAAAACAAAAAAAACAACTAGGACGCGACTGATGATACACGAATCAGGTTTGGAAGAAGCTTTATTGTATCAACGTATGTACTTCAGATGTTGTACTTGTACTACAGCTACAAGTTGTAGATATTTTAGTTTTACTAGTACTTTGTAAAGCTGTTTTACATATTTGTAACTTTTTATTGGAGTGAAAATTATATTTTATCTAGCGTAGTTATTACAATTTACAGTACTAGTAATGCTGTTTTCCTTTTGGCCTCTTCCATATTGCTGTAAAGTGTAATAGTTTTGATATACTTAGTTTTCTATTTAATGTCAGTAAAAAAAAAAAGTTAACTTTAGATAAATATAAAGAGGTATACTTGATAAAGTAAAACTTTAGTTCAGTTTAGTTTTCTCAATGTTTTGCCATAATTTCTTCATTTCTAAGTTTAATTAAGAAATCAGTTGCAAGTAAAAACTAAGGTTATCATAAAAAAGTATAAGGGATAAAATTAAAGAAAACATTATAATTTTATGAAGTTTAAATTGACTGCTATGATAGGAGACATAAAGGATTAGAGAAGATGAAGAGAGTTGGTAAAACAGGAAGATAGGAAATAGAAAAAGGTATCTGGAAAAAAAAAAGGTTGGCTGAAATGTAAAAATCAACAGTAAGGATTTCTTTAAGTATGTTAAAGGTAAGCAAAATCTTTGGATTGGAGTAGGGCTTTTGAGGGATAATAAAGGAAGGCTTGTATCTGATAGTTGTATTATTAGATTTTAATTTTTCTTCAATTTTTAGTATTGAAGATTTAAGCAATATTCCTCATCCTGAACAGTTGCTAAATGGAAAACATGATCGAACAAGATGATCACATTAATCCTGAACTGGTTAAGAAAAAATTGGGATGTTTAAAGAATGATAAGTCTTCTTGGCCAGATAATATATTCCTTAAGGTTTTGAAAGAGTTTGAGGATTGAAGCTTGCTAATATTTTTTGTAAGTACTTGAATAGTGAGTAGGTGCCAGAGGATTGGAAGTTGGCTAATATTACTCCTCTTTGTAAGGGAGGTGAAAAAATTGTCCCAGTAATTATAGGCCTACTAGTTTTACATCAGTGTTAGGTAAAGTTCTTGAAAGTGATAAAAATGCTTTGCAAGGTAATTTAAGAAAGTTTAAAATTTTCTTATAGATAGTCAACATGGTTTCATTAGGAGAAAATATTGCCTTACTAATCTTTTAACATTCTTTAAAGAGGTTACTGCTTATGTTGATGAGGGTAAATGGGTGTATTTGGATTTTTAGAAAGCACTTGACAAGGTGGGGGATAAGTTGGCTCATTGTATGGAAGAAAGCAGAGGGTTTTATAAATGGGGTTAAAGCCAAACTGGATTAATGTCATAAGTGGGATACCAAAGGGCAGATGGCTTTTAATTATGATGAATACAAGGTAATGCATGTGGGTTGTCATGATTTGAATTATAAATATAATTTGAATGGGATAGGCTTAAAATTGTTATGAAATAAAATAATTTTTGTGTTTTGATTGATAAGACTCTTATTAATGTCTTGGGTGTTGCTGACTGTGAAGAGGATGCTGTCGCTGCTTTAAAAAAGGGATTTAAATCATTTAGTGAGTTGGCCAACTAAATGGCAGATGGGTTTTAATTAAGTACAATAAATGCAAGATAATATATGTGGGTTATCATAATTTGAATTATAAGTATAATTTTGATGTTATGAAAGAAAGGGATCTTGATGTAGTGGTTGATCAGTCTCTTAAGTCATCCAAGCAGTGTGCTGTTGCTAGTAGTAGGGTAAATAGGATTTTAGGTTGTATCTACAGTAATATTGAATAAAAGTCTAAAGAGGTTATAGTTGCATTGTGTAGGTCACTGGTTAGGCCACATTTGTGTTTAGTCTTGGGCTCCTTACCTCAGGAAGGACATTGAATTGTTGGAAAGGGTTCAGAGAAGGGCTACTAAGATGGTACCTGAGATGGGAATATTGCCATATGAGGATGGCAAAGATCTCTGAAAGTGTTTTCTCTTGAAAAAAGGATTTAGAGGGAATTTGGTTTAGGTATTTAAGATTGTTAAGGGAATTGATAGTGTCAATGCATCATCTTTTTTTTGTACTTACCTGTGAGAATGACAGAAATAAGGGATGCAAATATAAATTATGGTAATGTACGAGTCATCTTCAATTAAGACAGTTTATTTTTTATAGCAGAATATAGCAGGCATTTAAAATGGGTTGCCTTAAGATGTGATGCTTGCAGTAAATTTAAGGGAAGGCTTGATAAAAATGTGTTTGACAGGGCTATCTTTGAATTTTTTTTTAAGGTTAGTGAATGAGATGATCCCTTATTGTCTGTCAATTTTATATTTATGTTAATTTCAGCTTTACTGAAATACAGTAGTCTTGTTCTTTTGATGAGGCGGTAATAGTGACATATTGAGAAAACTAAACTAAAATAAAACATGTTTTTTTGAAGTGTGTTTGTGTATAATTGTCTAAATACACTGAGACTCTTCATTGTGCATTATAAAAACTCAAATCTTGGTTATTAATTTTGGAAACATTTTTGTATAGTAGTTTATTAGCTAACATTGGTGATAAACTGTGATGATGTAAAACTGAATTTTTTCATCCAATACCACACATTCAGTGCAGTTCAAGACAAGTAATAAGATACTTGGCAGCCAAATATTGATTTTTATATGTTATCAGTTGTTTGTTTTGAGATGCTTTCTTAATTATGAATGTAAAACATGCTGTTACTGAATTATACCAATTCTAATACAAACATGTATATTATGGTCAGAAATAAGCTACACTTATTTTGTTGATTTACTGTACTGGTAGCACTGAGGTTGTAACTTTTTGAAGAATATTCAACCATGTATTTCCCTGGAGAATGTTTAATATTTGTAAACTTTCAATTTGTAATGAAATTCTGAAGTTAATAACAAATGTACTGCATAAAAGTCCAATCAAAATAGTGCAGTTCATTTGTTATTAACTTTTATATTGCTATGTAATCTCAAAATTTAAAGTAAATTTGATTTAAGATATTGTTTAAAGTAGACTCTTTTTTTCAGTTGTGAGATTTGATTTTTAACCCTCTGTTGCTTGCATTATGAAAATATGGTAGAAAAACTGCTTTCTTTGAATTTCTTACTTTAATAGATCTATATTGTACCAAAAATGTATTTTTTGTGAAATATATTTTGGTAAGTTATAAATGGTAACATTACCTAGAAATACCATATGGTCAATTGAGAAACCAACAAAAACAATTATATGGTTTATTTACTCGTACACTGAAGAGATAGATTTGTTATCTGTATATTACAATATGCAATAGACGGTTAATAAAAAGGGACAGTATTACTACAAGTGTTGTAAATAAGGGGAGAGGTAAAGGAATGTTTATTAAAAAAAACAAAAAATTCAACATTTTATGTCATGGTTACATTATCATCTCATGAATCCACACTGTTACTCTTGTAGTGTAATATATAGTTTAGATACAAGTTCAACTACTTAAAGATTCTATATTTATAACAGTATCTGTAGATCAATATAAAATGTTAGTTAATTAAATATATATATATTTTATATTGCTAATTATTTACTTTTTAAAATTCAAATAGCTCTAACTCCTATAGTGACATGAATTTGTCTCTGCAACTAGAGTGCTCACTGATAGAAACAACAAGTAAAACATCAATAAATAAATATTTAAAAACATTTTTTTAATTATGGTGCCTTTTTCTAATACTGAATATCATATTATTTCAAATATGTTTTTGTTGAGATTGTGAAAATAAGAAATGGTAAAAAAAATAATCAAACTGGCTCAGATTAATAATGGTGAACATGTGCATTAGTTTAACAAGACATCAACAAAAGTATGTGTACTGAAACCCTGGTCTTAATAAGTAACTTCAGATATTGAGAAGGATAGTGTGGTTGTAGAACTAACACTGATGCACATTATCATTATTATTATTTTTTGCATAATCGAAAGATTTAAATATATAAATAAAGTTATGAAAATATACAAATTTAAAGACTGAGTGTTAGGAAAATATGGTTAAATTTGAAGAATGTTTATATTAAATGGGTTTGGTACTTATAGAATTGATAGGCATAATTTGAAATAAGTTATTATAAGTATAAATTGAAAAAATTGCACATTTCAGTATTTTAAAAATTAGAGTGTTGTTTCTTCTGAACATTGCTTGAAATAATGAATGAATTTTAAGACAACTGATGTTAGTGGAATCTTTTGTTTTTTATAGATAACTAGGAGTGTTTGTTTCTTTTTATGTTTAATCAACATAAGATTAAGTGTAGCAAGTTTGATTTTAATCAGATTATCTGAGATATTGATAAACATGTGTTTTGTGCTACTAATTTATAGGTAGTGCCTTCAAGCAACAGAAACTCCAAGCATGGCAACCCATACTTACAGCAGGAACTGTTTTACCATCTTTCTTTATAATTGGGTTGGCATTTATTCCAATCGGAATAGGTTTACTTGTATCTTCTAATAAGGTAAGTTCTAGTTGCAGTAGTAGTTAATTTTTAAAATTGTAATAGATTTGTAATATTAATTTAAAGGGTCTATTTTTTATTGTTTTTACATTACATCACTAAGTAGTTGTCTAAATATATGATTTCTCATATCACAGATATTGTTTTTGAATTAAAAATTTCTTAATTTGGACACTGGTTGTTAATTATGTTTGTATGTGTTTAGGAAAATGTTAAAATTATCACCCATACTCAGCATCTGTAATTTGCTTCCGACTCACCCACATTGACTTTTCTAGAAAGTTGTGGCAAGAGAGAGAATTGTAATTCAGCATGGCCTTACATTTAGGCTTACTTTAACTGTTCTACAAGCTATGGCTTTTAAAAATTTTGCCTCTGTTATTATTTGTTCTAACAAGTACGATATATGTTATATACTTCACATATAAATATTTTTACCTTTTCGTGGCTTTAATTTGTTTTGCATCACTTGCAAGAATCAATGGCTTTCATTTGTTTTGCATCACTTGCAAGAATCATCTTACATGATTGTTCTCATTCAGTTGCTTTTTACAATGTTGGGTTTTGTTGGTCTTGCTGTTGTAAATCAGCAAACATCTAACACTATTACATTTAAATCTAATTTTTACCCTGTATGAATTATAATAATAATTTATGTCATTCCACAGTTATGTAACTTAATTTTATTTTTTGTTAGGTGATGTAATTCATTTCATTTTGAATAATTAATAATTCTGTAATTAAAACTTACTGCAATGAGCCTACTTGTGATTATTCATCAAAACTATGTGATATTTTTTTTTTTACATAGTTTTACATAAAACATCTTTAATTTTAGTGATAAGCTGTTAGTATATATTCTGCATGCAAAGCTTAAACAATTCTGTTATAGTCAATATTGGTTTTGAAAGCCTGAATTGTTTTATTTGACAGACTTCTAACAAAGAACAGAAATTAAATCATCTCAGGTTTCTAGTGCATGTACTACACAATGTTTTGCTTTCTTTCATGGAAGGTTTTAAATGGAAAATGATTAAAATAATTGTTTCAGTATTCTTCCTAGGTTCAAGAGTTTCAACTAGATTATACTTACTGTTTAAATGAAAAGGGAGAAGAATGCGCTGAAGTCATCAAGAAAAATTTTAGAAACAAATGCATCTGTAAAATTGAATTCAATCTTACTGAAGATTTTGAGGTAAAGGACTTAAAATGCCTATTTTCTTGTTTTTAGTAAAAAAGGTTTAAAGTAATATGATGTTATGTAATTATCATTACTTGATTAACTCAAATAAACTTTCTTATCTTAAGTATCGGTATATCACCAGAAAAGTTTTTAAAACTATAAAAATGAGTTTGTTTCGATTAAACAATATAACAGAACTAAGACATTTCATTGTCTCACCTTTGGAATCACCACTAAATATAAAATGAACATGTGTTTTAAAACTGCTTTTAAACCAGGCCTCAACAAATCTCAGGTGTCAGGTTACCATGGCACCTTAAAATTTCCCGGGGGGGGTAGTATTTTCTCACATTTTATTCGTGCGTAAGGCTGTGCTAAATAGAACTCAAATCTAGGACAGTTCTGGACTCTTGGAAGTCCGGAAATATTTTTGTGTTCTTTGAGCCCTAAATCAAACTTTGTTTCTAGGATTTTAATGGCAGATTCAGCACTTCTTCATGTGTGTTTTTTTTCAGGAATGAAGTGCTGCAGGTGCCCAACACATTACTAATTTCATGCCATTTTGTTTTTCTTCTCTCTTTCAATTCATTAATCAGTGCACGTGTTTAGACACAGACAGGACCAAGGGCAGTTAGTTCATGCAATACTATCAAGTGGTTGTTGATATCATGTGATCGTTAGCATGAACTCGTTGCTGGGGAATTAACTAAATATACAGTAGCTCCCATTTCTGGGTACAAACAGCAGTGAAGTTAGGTTAGGCACACCTGGCTCCTGAGTTTTTGGGCTGGCTCCTAGATCTAAAAATATTTGTCGAGGCCTGTATTTTTTTCAATTATCTATGATCTTCTTCTGAAAGAAAAATATAACTTGGTCAATTGGCTGGGATAATCTTCTGTCAACTATCTCTAGTCCTTTTTTGAAAGAACAATATAACTTGATCACTTGGCTGAGACAGTCTTCTGTCATTTATCTTGTATCAAGATTGTTACTCAATGTAATTCTTTTAAATTAGTGTTTTATTCTTCATATCTTTCTTGTCCATGATGCAGATTCTTATATCATTTGTTAACATGATCTGCCTTCCAATTATTAGTTATTGGATTATAAATGCCATTGTTATAGATTATATTACAGTTGGTAATCATCTCTTGCTACCCTTGATGTGGAACACTTTTTTTACAGTATTCAAATTTATTACAAAAGCTTTGCAATTACATTAATTGCTTGACTAGAATATCCTTAAAAATCTATTAAAATATATTTCTCAACAGTTTTTGGTCACTCGTAAATGTTCTTCGGACTATTGGTCAGAATGAGGCTAAAATGGCATGGCATACAATTATTTTTTGAACTTCTGCAGGCATAATAATTTACATTGATTGTGATTTTAAAGGGTTTTTTTTAGTATAAGTAAATTATTTATTTTGAAAATGGCTAATTTCTTCTTCCTAAACCTAAAACATTTTTATTCCGGTAATTCAAATATGTTTTTACCTCTACGTGTGTAATAGCTTTCTTTCACATTTTGATTGTTTCTTTCCCATTCTGTATTTTGAGACAGAACATTTTTGTTAACAGGATTGTTTTTCATTACACTACTTTTCCTACCCTTAATCTCATGACATGTTTGCTCATGGTCAGACTGGGATTATCCTAAATTAATCTTCTTAGTTTATCATTCTGTGTTTAGAACTATTTCTTTCTACATTGTTATGATTTCTTTAGTGCTCCTTGCTTTGGTATTTCTTTTTGGTGGCCATTTTGACTTTCAATCACTCATTAGTGTCACTTTTGGCCTCAAAATTTGGCACATATTTTGTGGTGCATGTTTATGAGAGTAATGCTTGAGATCTTTTATCTGTAGGTGTTTCAGTTTCACCAACAGACAATCTTGATTTTATGCATACTATACAGACTTTTTCTAAAATGGTTCTTTTGGTGAATGATCAGTTAATTATGGATTGTGTAATTGATTTCTTGCTAACATCTTGGTCTTTGAATTGGTGACCTGTTGGAGATGAATAGATAGACTGCCAGCCTTCCATTTAAGCCTTCATACTCTGGATCTTTGGGTCCTGATGATAGTATCTATTTCCACTTTCAAGGCACTGATTCCTTCTATTAAGTGAATACTTTTGACATAGATTTTGGAACTGCAGAGCACGTTTTATCCTTCATTGTTTTCAGATCTGGCAGTTTTAATTTCTGATGTTTGTTCTCTATAAGATATGAAAGTATTCTCTCCCATGGTTTCTTTTAGTATATTGCATCATTCGTGAAGGAGTGAGGGTATTTTTCCTCCTTCTTGGATGACATGCACCTTTACAAATAGCTTCCTTTCTATCCTAGTTTCTGTTGTTTGTTTTAGATCTTCCAGAGTACCTCATGTTGAGAACTGTATGGCTTCATTCCTTTTTGAGATTTTTTGTGCTTAGTTATTTGAGCCTAATGTTCATGCCTGGAGTGTCTGAAAAAAGTTGTCATGTTTAACTGTAGATTCTGGGCAGACTCGAAGTAAGTTCTTGGATATATGCAATATATTGTTCTGAGGATCAGCATATTCTTGTATGTTCTTCAGTATTTTCCTGGTCTTACAGTTGTCATCTTTAGTTTCTGTGGTCACTTGGTTTTTGTGTTCTTGTGATTTTCTAAGTGGAGAAGTTTTGCATCTCACATTTACTATTTATTAGAGTTGTAGATGGCTCTTCCTTCTTTATAGGATTACACTTTGGCTGGTATTCCTCTTCACATGGATGCTTGTGTTTTCTCATTATCTTAATTTTCTTTAAATTCTTAAGTCCAGCTATTATTCCCTGATGGCCTTAAGGATCTACTTCTCAGGTTTTTCATCAGTACTATACAGAAACCTAATCTTTTCATCAATGGTTGTAGGTTGTTCCATGTGAACAGATTGCTGATGCCCTAGATGAGTCTATTCCTATTCATGTTATTGGACAGGTGGAAGGATGAATTCAGATTTTTGCTCAACTTTTATGAGACTTTTAGGTTTACTAGTTCAGTTTTCGACCTTATATTTCCAGTTTCTTTTTTATTTTCTTTAAGTGCTTTCATAAAACATTTCCTAATTACTGGGGCAGAAAAAATCCCATGGGTGTGACATCTTGTTTATCCAAATAACCAGATGAGCACAGATGAAGAAGCAAAAAGGTTTGTACCTTGCATCAATGCGATGACATTTATAGGTTTTAGTAATTACTTTCAAATGTCATCTTAGTGACACTTATTGTAAATTAGTGACATCCAGTGAGCATTCAGCTGTTTCTCTTGTAGAGTTGACTTCTTAATATGATGACATAGTTTTCTATTGAGTGATTTCAGCAAGTTTGCTAGATTTTTCAGGAAGACTTATAATTGGCCTCACTGGAATGTGTGGCTTCTGGATTTTATATAATTTCTATTTTTCTGATGTTCTGCTGCAGCACCATGAGAGATGTCATTTGTTTTAGATGAGATTTTAGTTTTCTGTTACAATGCATTTCAGCTATCTTGGTTTATCATATTAGAACATTGTCTTTATTGATCCTTAAAATTTAGATCTATTTTTATATCATTGTAGTAGAATATAAGTTGTTATTGTATAACATTCTTTTTTTTCTGCATTGTTGTTGTTACTGTTATAAAGTGGCTGATTTTACTTCCTGAATGTGAGGTATTTATTATTAATTATTGAATTAAAAAGAGAGGTGTTATCTTCTAAATAAGGACTGGAATGAACCCAGTTGTGATTTTGTTGATTGCAAATGAATGTAATTTGTCAAATGTATATATACATATTCATTCATATTATAGCCAAGTTCAGGGCTATGTTTTTTTGTAATGGGAAGTTTCTTAAATATGTGTTTCTTTATATCAAATATTCCTAGTTTTATGTTTTTAAGAGTTTTTGAAATGTATTTATGCAGTATACAACACTTGCAGCCACTGTACCATGGCATTGAATACTTACATCCAAGTCCTTATTTCTGGGGTCTTGGAAGGGGTGGACACTAGATGAACTAGGTGATATCAGAACATCTAAAGAAAATGCTGGGAAAATTTACAAATTTTAGTAAAAGTAATCTTTGATTAAAGATTGAAATCAGTATTATTACTATTGCAAAATCTGTTATATGTATTTTTTTTCTCTAGTAAGAAAACTACCCCCCTCCCCACTACACACTTATCTGAAATAATTTTCAAATCAGAACTGTAGTATTATATTGAAAAACGTGTAAAATAATCTATTATTGCTCTCATGTTAAAAACTGTGTATTTCCAGTTTTATAGATTATACGTGGTTATACAGATATACGTGGTTTGTAAACTAAAAAAATTGGGTCATGTGAACTAAGATTTTGACAGAATGTAGAGCAAAATATTCTAGAAATGTTTTCATGTAGAACACATCATGAAAAAATGGGTTTGCATGGTTTTGAAATGACAGAATACCTTAGACCGTATAAGTTGGTGTGATTACAATCTGTTTGAGAATTCCTGAGAGTCATAAAAATGTTTTGTGATCTCTATTTTTTCCAGCGAAATGTTTTTGTGTATTATGGACTTACCAACTATTATCAGAATCACAGACGATACGTCAAATCAAGAGATGACCAACAGCTTCTGGGGAAAGTCACTGACACATTATCTGCAGACTGTAAACCATTTGCATATGTTGAAAACAGCACCTACAAGACACCAATTGCTCCTTGTGGAGCCATAGCCAACAGTTTGTTCAATGGTAAATGAGTATAAATATACAGTAATAATTTTTCTGACCCATATTATAACCGGTCATTTTATTTTGTGACCATTGGAATTGTTCTTAGCCATTCTGGGATAAAAAACAAACAAATGAAGGTCATTATCTATAAGTAGCATAGAAATACTTCATGTACAAGTTCCAAACACATTAAAATATACTGAAAAGTCATTCCAGCTCAACAGAAAGAACTGGGGAGGTTTGACTGTCTTGGAATATTAGAAAAAATATTATGGCTATTAATGATTCCACTAGAGAAACTTAAAGTTTATAATATTAAGTGTAGGATGTGAATTGTAACTCGTGCCCTACATGGATTTCATTATGCATACATGCTCTCTTATTCTGTAATTGTTTTCTTATTTATACTTATTATTTATACTTATTAAGTATACTTATTTATACTTCATCAATCCCACATTGTTGAATGAGGGTTGAAATGTCCTTATTATTTTAACCCTGAACTTGCAACTCAACCAGACAAAAATCTTTGACATGTGGTGAAATCAGACTGATGTATTGTTTAGACTTAGATCTAAAAGAGTCCAAAATATTCACCAAATCTAAAACTGATGTTCATACAACTTACAAACTGGTTGTCAAAGTTGACCTATTTTGAAAAGAGTTGAATACTATTTATAGTGTAAGTCTGGCTAGAAGCTTTGATATTTCAGTACAAATAACAACCAAAGTATTTGAATAAAAGCAGTAATATAATAAGCATACAAGATTATCTTTACAAATTATTTAACCCATTGACTATTAATATGCCGTATAGGGGACAGTCTGTCTCTGGCAGTAGAATGTGATTGTGCCTTATACGGTGAAGGGCTTGCAAAAATTCTACACATGTTTAGAGCAGCCATAGTCGATGGTTTAAGCAAAAGGAACAGTGGTTGAATTTCATTAACTCTAAACCACCATTTTTAAAATCAATGACAAAAAGCAGCTTTTGCTTTTAAAGAAAAAGAATAAACTTTCTTTAGACATGTAGTTTTGTTGGAAACTCTTGTCTTTTTTTTAATTGATAACTTTCTCTCAATGGATATCCCATCACGATTGCTTCCACATAGACTGCATTTATTGCATGTGAAACCCTTCTTCACTTTGCAGTTGTGAATAATAGGTAGTATAGAATTGTCATCTAATGTCTCAGGAAATGGCACATAAAAAGAGAAATTGACTTTTGGCCAGAAAATGGAAAATATTAGTCAAAGGAAGGATATAGAATGTTGAATTAATTCCCCAGTAAAAAAAAAAAATTAATGTCATTTTGTCTTCACAGAATAGAAGCCCAAATCCACAGTTATGGTTCTAGCAAATTTGATAATTTTCCAGATGATACACACTCCAGGTTTATCACCAATCTAGGCTTATTTAAGCCAAGAACTTAGGGTTAAAAGAATATAGAAATAGAGTAAGCTACCCTGTTAAAGTGAAATTACACTAAGAATCTTTGTACTTTCAGCTTTAGTGTGATATATCAATCAAATATCTTTGACATGTACTTTAGAAATTACCAGTGTTTGACTTAACTCACTTTTAGGTCACAGGGAAGCTTTGGCTTCAGATATCTCTGGAACTGTTTGCACCAGAAACCTGAACTTATAACTTTCAACATTGTCTATGAGGTTATTATTACTGTTTTGTTTTTAACAAATGTTTAGAGGATTGGTATACCAGTGTTGGTGTTATTGAATTGGAGGAAATTTGAAATATCTTGTTCAGTTTATACATATTCAGTGTTATTTGGGTGTTAATTAAATATTTGTTTATTTTAGATGATGATTATATCTGAGATATTTATCCGTTAAGATATGAAACATTCACCAGACTGTAAAAGTAATACCATCCAGCAGTTTCACATTTTGTTTAACTGACCAACCATAAAGCTGGTCTTTTTCTAACAGTACTCAAGCTCCTGGCTACTAAGGATTTCACAGTGTTAATTGAACCTGATTTTCTCATGAATTGAAATATTTAATTAAAAACTCGTACTTTTTATATCGGGAGTAACCTTTTACAATTTTTTATTTATAAGGTAAATAATTATATGCTACTATCTGTGCATGTCTGTCTCTATATATACATATAAATGTAGGTATTTTAATGAGTGTCTCTTTAATTGTCACAGATACTATAACACTAAAGCTTCAAGGTAATAAAGAAGTGGAAGTTCCACTGTTGAACACAGGAATTGCTTGGCCTACAGATACCACTGTTAAGTTTCAGAATCCACCAGGAGATGTGAGTACAGGAGAAGGTAAAGCTTAATCATTCTTTTAACCCTTTCGCGACAGGGTCGGTATATGATACACAAGTTCGTATATGCATTTGCACACGTTAAGTATTTATACTATAACTTTTAATGCTACATGTGTATCTTCACAAAATTTGGTAGGTTTTTAGTAATGATTCCAAGTATTTTGTTCACAAAAAATCAGATTTTTTAATTAAGTATTTTTGTTTAAAATTTGTTTGTGAAAATAGCGAGTCTGTTTCATTACTAGTCCAGGTGGGAAGTGATTTTCATGTCATGATTAAACACTATTCTTTGTCCCAAAAGTCTCGAATATTATTTGTGTAAGCTCTAAAACCTCTTAAATACATTTCAAACATTTGTTTTCAGTAAAACTTTATATTTTGTCTGTTATTTTCTCAATCTTAACCATACGAGGTCTGTCAATTTGTCTGACCTCATAACCACCATAAAAAAATTATGAAATAAATA